AGAAACACAAAGTGAAAAATGTACCTGAAGTGTGTCATGGGTGGTAAACTAGGTCCGCAAGAGGAATTTCTTCCAATGCAAGCACCTGTTGCCCATAGAGTATTTTGAGTTTCTATCCATTTACTTTGAATATCCTACCATCATTAGGGTCCTCAATTTCAACCGTCCCATTCTCAAAAGCTTGTGTTACGACAAAGGGACTAGTCCACCTAGAGCACAGTTTTCCCGAGTGCTTGTGAAGTCTAGAATCATACAAGTACACTTTCTGGTTTGGTTCAAAAGTTTTTCTCACAATATTTTTATCATGAAATGCTTTCATTTTTGACTTGTAGATTCTAAAACTTTCATAGGCATCATTTCTTAACTCCTCTAATTCACTCAATTGAAATTTCCTATGTTTACCTCCCTCTTCTAGATCAAAGTTGAAGTGTTTAATGGCCCAAAAGGCTCGGTGCTCAAGTTTGACAGGTAAATGGCAAAGCTTTCCAAAGATTAGTCTATAAGGTAACATGCCTAGGGAAGTCTTAAAAGCTGTACGATAAGCCCAAAGTGCATCATTAAGTCACAACGACCAATCCTTACGATTAGGGTTCACCATCATTTCCAAAATTTGTTTAATTTCCCTATTAGCCAATTCTACTTGTCCACTAGTTTGTGGGTGATAAGAAGTGGAAATTTTATGAATCACCCCATACTTTTTCATTAGTGCATCAAATGAATGGTTGCAAAAGTGTGTGCCTCTATCACTAATGATAACACGTGGTGTACCAAATTGAGACAAAGCATTTTCTTTAATGAATTTAATAACCATTTTATTGTCATTGGCTCTACAAGCAACTGCCTCTATCCACTTAGACACGTAGTCTACAGCCACAATGATGTATAAATAGCCAAAAGAGGGTGGAAAAGGGTCCTATAAAGTTAATGTCCTAATAATCAAACACTTCAACTACCATAATGGGATTTAAAGGCATCATATTATGGTGGGAAATAGCACCTAGTTTTTGACAC